ACAATTTATGAGCTAAAAATAAGTTGAAAAGGCAGGTAAAGACATTAAAACTTACTCTATACATTGAAAGGTCAATGCGCAGAGAATTGTGCAGCTGATCCAAGAGCTTGACAAACCTTTCTTTCTGTAAGAGGAGAAAAAAATTATGAGAAAATTTTCAGAAATACACCTAAAACCTACAGTTAAAGTCAGAATTATTCACCCCCTGAATTATTAGCCCCCCTGTTTATTTATTATGAAGATTTTGTTTCCAACACATATTTAAACATAATAGTTTTAAGAACTCATTTCTAATAACTGATTTATTTTAACCTTGCCATGATGACAGTAAATAATATTTTACGATATATTTTTTAAGACACTTCTATGCATCTTAAAGTGACTTTTAAAGGCTTAACTAGGTTAATTAGGTTAACTAGACAGGCTAGGGTAATTAGGCAAGTTATTGTATAACGATGGTTTGTTCTGTAGACTGGGGGAGGGGGGGGGGGGTGGTGGGAGATAGCTTAAAGGGGCTAATAATGGACCTTAAAATGTTTTTTTTTCTTCTTTTTTTAATTTAAAAAAATACTTTTATTCTAGCCAAAATAAATCAATTAAGACTTTTTCCAGAAGAAAAAAATATTATCAGACATACTCCTTCAAATTTCCTTGCTCTGTTAAACAATTTGGGAAATATTTAAAAAAGAAAAATGTATTCAAAGAGGGACTAATTCTGATTTAAACTGTATAACCTATACATTATTTTCAACCAATCAAACATGTCAGAATTGTGAGAAAGGCATAAAATTGCAGGAAAAGATGAGGAAAAGTAGAATTTCTTCAATAAAACATTGAAGTGCAAGATATCAGAATTGTGAGAAAGACATTTGCCAAATTTGGTAACAATTCTACCAAAAATAAATCTAAATCATGAGATGTGAAGTGAGAAATGCAAGAAATACATGCAGGCCACAATTCTATAATAAGACCTGCATTTACAAGACAAAATTGCAAGGAAGCCTGTAAATTAACTATCTAAGCCATAATTCTATTATCTGAACCACTATCTGTTGTTCAGTTTTTATAGAACTGCAGCTTTTTCCCCTCGCAGTTGTTCGTTTATGTACTCAATTCGTACTTTTTCTGTTTAAATTCCACAATTTTTAGTTTATCTTGCAATTTGCTGTCTTTCAGTTCAGATGGAAAAAATTCAATATTGCAAGCATTGTTTGGAAAAAGTAATTACTTCAAAAAAAGTAAATAACAGCTAATTACATTGTTAAAACTGTATTTAAATTATATTTCTAACTACTTTGTCTAAAAAGTAACTTAGTCTGTAAGTACTTTAATTACTTGACTCAATACTAAGAATCCATATACAGTGCTCAGCATGTACAAGTACACCCCTCACAAATCTATCTTTTAAATTAATATTTTTATTAGGAAGCTTTGCAAAATTATATTTGTGCATAAAGATTAGATTAATCAGTACTGAAGCCAAATCTGGAACTTATCTAACAAAATAGCTTACGAAAACGGTTCAAAAACTAGTACACCCACATTTATATGTTATAGAAAAATAGTAAATACAAATTTAAAACGAGAAAAATCAAAAGAGAATCAAAAAGTTTTGAAAAGTTTAGTTAAAATTTTGTAGGTTGTAATATTTAGCTTTATTTTAATTGTATTATCTTTCAATTTCTAAATATGTTTGGTGACTAGAATATTATTTTATTAAATATTTATTGTTTAATAAATCTGTTTTGCTCAAATTCACAAACATACATTGCGTATATTCACTGAGAACTGCATAAAAATATTCATTTTCAAAATGGGGTGTACTCACTGAGCACTGCATATCTAAACAAATAAGAAACAGAAATTAAAATGTTTTAGTATTTTTATTTTGTGTTAATATGCAACATTTGAAAAAATGTTAAACATATTTTGACATATAGACAAAAAGTTATAGAAATAGAAATACTTTGACAAAATACATGTGTACAACAAAAACAAAACTAAATATTTCTCTGCTTCTGTAAATTAAATTATACAGAACTATTGAATTTAAGTCAGGTATTTAAGGCAAGTATATCATAAATAATTAAAAAATAAATATTATCCAAGTGAAATTTTATTAACTGTACTTAAATTACCTACATATTAAATGTAATCCCTTACTTCTTCAGCAGAAAATTCATTTAATTACAGTAGCTGGTTACTTTGTAGCTCATTACACCCAACACTGATTTTAAGATATGTAACATTTTGAGATATAAACTGAGAAAAAGTTGATTAAAAAGTAACAAAAAAAAACCTTTATTAAGGCTTGCATAGTTCATATCTATCCTCTATTAACAAGCTTATTTTTCAACTTAAGAATAGCGCTGTTGTTTTGACATTTTAATTACAGCCTGCAATTAGCTAAAGTGTTTCAATCCATAACAGTGATATCGAATTGTGTCCCATGGTGCTTTACTTAGCTGGTCTGTCAATACAAGATAAACAAGGGCTGCCATGACAGACACCTCCATTTTCAAAATGGGCTTTCATTTTTTTTTTTTTTTTTTTGCATTAATCGTTTATGACCTTACACTGACAAAGGAAAATGGGTAAACTCATTTAACTGACCACACCCACTGTTGGCTTATTAAGCATAATCAGGTTCAGATTTTGCATGTAAACACACTCGTTTTCAATCTGCCTGTGATCTGTTATTTGAACGTACCCCAAAGTTGGATGCAGCAAATCTGTCGCTGGCGGAGACATTGGTGGATGCGGTGGTGTGGGCGTAGTAGGCGTTGATGTTAGCCAGCAGGGTGCTCATCACAGCAGGGACACCGGGACACATATACTTAGAAGAGAGACACGCAAAGTGCCTGCAGACAAAGAGATAGAGGAGATTCTCAAACTAACACAAGCAATTTGTGCAACTAGATGATTTCAAAACCAGTAAAGTCAACACTAGAAAGACATATTAGCCCTTATGTGATTTCTTTTTTCTTTATTAAATATTTCCCTGCAGCGTGGTGGCGCAGCGGGTAGCACTGTAGCCTCACAGTAAGAAGGTCGCTGGCTCGAGCATTGGCTGTTCTCCCCGTGTTCACGTGGGTTTCCTCCAGGTCCTCCGGTTTCCCCCATTGTCCAAAGACATGTGCTATTGGTGAATTGGGTAAGCTAAATTGTCCGTAGTGTGTAAATGGGAGTATATAGGTGTTTCCCAGTGAAGGATTGCAGCTGGAAGAGCATCTGCTGTGTAAAATATGTGCTGGATAAGTTGGCGGTTCATTCCGCTGTGGCGGCCCCAGATTAATAAAGAATGAATGAGTGAAATATTTCCCATATTTTGTTGAACAGAGCAAGGTTTTTTTTTTACAGTATTTCCTATAAAAAAATCTTATTTGTTTTATTTAGGCTAGAATAAAAGCTGTTTTCAATTTTTAAAACATTTTAAGGTCAGTATTATCAAGAAATCAGTTATTAGAAATGAGTTATTAAAACTATTATGTTAAGAAATGTGTTAAATGTGGAAAATTTTCACCGGCAGGCTAATAATTCAGAAGAGGTAATAATTCTGACTTCACCTGTAACATCAGTCTAAAACTGTTCAAAAAGGCTAAGTAAACAAAATTAATCCATTGAGACAAAATGCTGAACCGAGTCCACCTCTACACCTCTGACTCTCAATCAGTGGCAATGGCTCTGTCTTGGAGATGTCAAGTTAAATAACCACTCATTAAGTGGGTAAATGAATCCGTCATTGCTCCAACTGGCCTTGTGGCCCATTCAGTGTGACGTATGGCCACTTCTGTGTGCAATATTTTAATCATGTGCTCCGCTAATGAGCATCTCCTCGCAGTCCTGATGCCAGAACCAGACCAACTCACACTCCAGACACTCCAATTGATCTCTTTATTGCCCTTGTTGGACAGAGAACACCGCTACATTTATCCATCTCTCAGTCAGAGTTTACAAAGGTGAACAGTAGTTTTTAAATGTTAAAAAAATCTATGAGAGCAATCATAATTAGTTGTTTATCATCTGTACAAATATCACTCAAAAACTCAAATGTGGAAAAAACATTGAGATAACCTTTCAACTTTAAACCAACACAGCAGGGTTTTTATGGTTTATATTGTACCTAAATTCTAGTCAAAACAACCCAGCCTTTTTAGAGCACAGGTAAACCATGTCATTTTTCAAGAGTATGTTTGTGCTTAGCAGAGCTGTGCAATTAATTGAAATCGAATTGCAATCACAATTTGAAATGTTGCGATTAGCTAATCGCAAGAGGCTGCCATATGAAATATATATGTATTATTTAATTTCCCCCACCCAGAGCAAATGCATGACTGCCTTCTGGGTGTGACAAGTCTTACAAGCCAATTAATTGAGCACACTTTCGTTCTGCCCAATCGGAATTGCCTGACCGAACTATGCAGAACGCCCACAATGAAATAAAAACAAACAAACAAACAGAGAAACACGGACGAGTGGGATGATGGAGACTGCCGCTTCAGAAGCATTAATAGACAAATTGATAAAGAAAAACAGCACATCAGTAATATGAGAACAGTCACAGACACCACAAGTCACAGACACCAAAACAAAAACAAATAATTTGTAAGAGCTGTTGCAGAAGTGTAGCCAGCACCAGGAAATAAGGAGGGGCATTTATATTTACTACAAAACTGAATCGCAAATCGAAATCACAATATCTGTTAAAAAAATTGCTATTGAATATTTTCCCCAAATTGCACATCCCTAGTGCCCAGTGTAAAAAAAATGAGCACATAAAAATAGCAATGAAAAGATAAATTATTCATTGACATCGCATCTGTTTTAAAAATGTTTTACCATGTGTTCCATTAAATGTATGTGTATCGCACATTGTTCAAATATAAAACATCATTAAATGAAAAGCTAAATAAAGCATTCAGCATGCTGTACTGTACATAATTAAATCTCTTCACAGACTTGGTTTAAACTTAATTGATTTGGTACATTTTAAAGTTTTGTTACTTACAATCAAATTTCACAAAGATTTTTAAATGTGAGTTAATGATGACAAAATATTTACTTTGGGTTAACCATAAATGTGACAGAAAACACTGTAAAACCGACCGTTACTTGTGTAACTAACAAAATAACTATAGACAAATTACTTTCTTTTTATATTTTCCATGAATTCTGTATTATTTAATTTTACAATTGAATTAATATGGCAATAATGTGTTCTTTATTAAATCACCATATAAACAGTTGTATGTATATACAGTATATTTATAAAAAATATAGTGTATATAGTATTTATTAAGTAAAAAGAATTTAATTAATCAAAAAATGGATGATAGTATAGAAGAAAAAAAAACATTTGAATAACATGGAATTGTTTTTTGAGACCTTTATATCAGGTTTGTTTCTTCATAGTGTTTCTTAAATTAACTTTTAATTAAATTAGTAAAACAAAAGATCTTAACTTCTGCTTCAAAGATAAACTAGTCACATAGATTTAGAAAGAGATGAAGAAGTGTAAACAAGGGCAGCATTTTGACATTTTTGAACACAAGTACTGTATCTTGACACTAAATTTTATTTTTAAGTTTATATTTTCCATAAATATTGTGAAATTGGAGTGTAAAATTAACCCAGTATATTAGGTTTTTGATTAGTTTAATATTAAAAAAATCTCATTAAAAAAATACATTTATATATAGACACACATTTTTATTATTTATTTAGATATACTGTATATTGATTAAAATACAGTATATATAAAATATCTAAAAAGTAATAATATATATAAAATTATAAAAAGTAATAAAAACAAATAGACATAATGAAGAAACATGAAGAATAACAGGAACATCGGATGCATGCAGGAAGGCCTAATACATACGTCATGGCTTGGTAGATGGACTCAATCCCATAGCGCATTGCAAATTCATCCACAATCTCTTGCGGCACATCATCAAAGTAGACCTTCCAGGCATCGTCGCCACGGGCTTCTGGGATTTTGACCACTCCCTGACCAAGGACATCTGTAATGTGATGAAAGAGGTTCTGCCAGAGAGAACACAGAAGAAATTAATGGCGACCGTCTCCTGAAAGACTAACATCCTTATATAAAGATCTGTTGACACAAACATACCTCATGCAGACAGGTGTACTGAACGTGGTATGGGGCCACTTTCTCTTCACCCTTAATTTCAACACTGATCTGAAGACGGATGGCACCAGAAACTGCAGACTTGTCTGTTCTTTTCTCTGTGGTGTGAGATACACAGCGTTTTTAAACCAACAGTAATCACAAATAAAATTTAAATCAACACAGGACAATATAACAAATAGGTAAGAAATTCACAATTACTACGATAATATAACTAGCTAAATATTCTAACTAATCTAATTACTGCTACTAATTATACTATACTGTAAACAACTAAATGCTGTATTGTTACTATATACTGTAACTAACAATATAAGCACCATGGGCTCTATTTTAACAATCTAGGTGCAACTTGTAAAGTGTATGGCGCAAACGGATTAAGAGCATGTCCAAATCTACTTTTGACATTTTAAGGACTGAAAAATAGTGGTCTAACAGGGTTGTGCTTATTCTCCTAATGAGTTATGGATGTGTTTAAAGCATAACTGCATTAAACTAATCAGAATATCATCTCTCATTCCCTTTAAGAGTCGGTTGTGTTGTGCTATGGGACATTAACTATTTACATGGTGGACTTTGTAAGAGGAAAAACTGAACACTTCAGAGAGAAAACAATTAAACAGACCATCTGCATCGTGCGGATAAAGAACGAGCCTCCTCCATTTTGGCTTTTTACTTTCTCTTTACTTTTACTCTTTACTAAGGAACTGGTGTTATACACACTTCACTGTAGACATCATTTAGCCTACATATTTAATTATTTGATTTAGTTAAAGCACAAAGAATTGTTTTAAAACTATTTCTAAACTAAGTTCTAATTTCCAGCAAACGACTAAATGAACAATAATCCAAGTTATATACAAACACACGTCCTATATATATATATATATATGTATATTAATATAATAAATAATACTGCAAATAATAATAAAATTATCTACAAATGGAAATTGCCATGAATAAAACTGAAAAAAGTCCCCCGGCATGAAGGTATGGAGGTAGTGGTTTTTATATTTATGTAGAAAATATACATTTTTGTAACATTTTAATCCTTTACTTTTTTCATATTTGTAAAGATAGTTATTGAAGACAGTATTGCTGTACACCCTGTGTGTATTAAGCAACGTGTAAGTGTTTGGACCTGCTAAGCACATAACTAACGTGCTCTGCCCTGGACTTTTAGTTAGTCAACAGCACAGTCTATTTCAATTCCTCAAAATAGCAATATGTCAACAATGCGCCTTAACACACCTCCTTTTTAGACCGACACACTCATGAGATCACAGTGGTGCAAATAAATTTGGTATTTAAACAACGTGGAAATTACTGTTGCGCCAGTCTGAAAATAGCAACAAATAGCACCAAACATGTCTTGCACCTTATTGCACCGGGTGTATGATTGGGGCCCTTTAACTAAATAATTACTGTAACTAATTGCCTAAACAATACAATTAATTACTCTACAGTAACTACTGTAAATGCATTGGCACTTTAATTAATAGTAACAACTAAATGCTATAACAAAATAGTGAAATTAACAAAATACATAAACATTGTCACTAGTGGAATAAACTAATTACTGTAATTTTCTACCTAAAAACTGCAACTAATGATAAACTAAATCATGTACTATAACTGTATAATGCAACACTGTCAGTGCAACCAATTAATGCTATAACTAAATAATGTAGCTAAATACTGAATTGTACCATGCATTAAGAAATATTTACATTTTATTTAGAAAAACATCATTTTAAAAAGTGCTATTTTATCATCATTTATGCAAATTGTTACAATTGATTTTGTATTTTTATGTTCATTTTCGGTTTTATATATATATATATATATATATATATATATATATATATATATATATATATATATATTAGGAGTGTAACGATTTATAGTTGTACGATTTATTGCGATGCAAAAATGTCACAATATTCATCGTGGCGTTATGACAATTTGATTACGATATGACGTCCGTTTTCTCTTATTAGTTGAGCTGTTTTCACGTGAGCTACGTTCCACCTGCTGTCGCACGTGAGTTCAGATTGCAGCAGCAGTAATGTTAGCAGACCAAGATGAGTGGAGCTGAAATAGAGGATGGCCCATCCTCTCAAAATCAGACGTCTGGCAACATTTCGGTTGTACAGTCATCGCTTTACACTCGGCCGTTTTTTGACACGCATACTGGTTCAAACATCCTAAGTTTTAAAGTCTTCACAATGATTTACATACTTTGCACAGCGACATGGATACCTCCTAATGGCGTTGAAAGAGTCACATACTGTATTTATAAGGTACAATTCACCCTAAAATATCATTCTGTCTTCATATAATGATGTATTGGCGGCCGCAAAATCACACATGACGTGAGCTGACCGTGAACTGTTACTACAGAGGGCGGACTATGATAGACGCACGCGTATGGCAAGCCGTTTTAGCATTTAAACCTAATTTTAATTAATTTAGAAATATCTCTAATTATATTTTGACTAGTCATAATTATAATTCGACTAGTCAGAATGACAATTAGAGATATCTGCAATTACAATTGTACTAGTACGAAATCAGATTGGAGATATCTGCAAATATATTATGATTAGTCATATTCCTCCATTGACTTCCATTGAAAAATATTTGCAGATATCTCTAAATGAGTTTTGACTAGTCACAATTGTAATTAGAGATATCTCTAAATGAATTTAATTAAATATGAATTAAATATATGGATAGTCAGAACAAAGGTTTAAATGCTAAAACGGCTTGCCATACGCGCGCGTCTGCTTCAGTGAACAGAACCTGCAGGTTGTAACTAACAGGTAATAAAGTAGTAAACAACATTCAGTTTGTGGAACGGAGTGATCGTTCAGGAGCCGCGTGGGAAGTATGAACAGCACTTAGCAGTGGAAATGAAACCGAAAACGTACACATTATTTAAACAATCATATCGCATTTTAGAGTTATGATTACGACGAGCAACCATTTTGAGTACAGAGGTACACAAAAATGCACGTCAACATGATACACTTGATAGCACCGACATCAGTGACGCCGAAGAAATAGTAAACCTGCCTAAACTGCTAAAAAGAGCCACGACTGTCCTGTGTAATGAAAAGACGGCCACCCTGTCACTCATCATGCCCAACATGAAGACAGCCATCCATAAAAACCTCTCAGACAGATACACATAAGTTCAGGATTATCTTATAGAACTGATGATTACCTGGAAATATGGATTTTTTTTTTGCACACACAAAAAACGCAAGTGACCAAGCAAAGCCTTAAGCTCTTACTGTTAAATTCAATTGAATAGAAAGCTTTTTTTTTGCACCTTTACTTAAATTGTTCCTTAATTTTGTCTCTGTCATTTCAATAATATTTTTTAAAAAGTTTTTAAATTGTTTTATTTTCCAGAGACAGGCCTGTTTAATTTATTTTCTTACAGAAAGTTCAGTTTAACATGTTGAAACAAAATAAATACATAAAAAATAGTTTACTTGGTAAAGTTTGCATTTCAGTTTAATTTTCAATTTTTATTCCAAATATCGTGATACATATCGAATCGTGAACATTATATCGTGATACACATCGTATCGTGAGCTGAGTGTATCGTTACACCCCTAATATATATATATATATATATATATATATATATATATATATATATATTTTTTTTTTTTTTTTTTTTTTTTTTCAAATCATTTTTTTTATGTGAATCTAAATTAATGTTTATATAAAATTCTATTTCAGTTAGCTGCCAAGCCAACATTTAGCATTTTATTTGTAGTTGTTTTATCTAGTCCAAATAGTTAACAAGATTCAAGCAACATAACTCTTTCCTTTGATACAAAACAAGCTAAACATGCTAAATATGTTTATATATCATTTATAATTTTCACATTTGATATGTGGCCTCTCCTATCTGAAAAATCTTTTGAAGGTCTTTTAATAGAAACACTGGGACCTTCTTTTGTCAACCCTTTTCCCTGACAGGCAAATTATTGTGATAATCTATATGTGTCTGCTAAGTGAAGAATTTCCGACTGGAGTGGGCTACATAATAATCAAGGAGGATATCAGCTCTGAAGGAAGGATAGAGAAAGCGAGAGCCAGAGATAGAGGAATACAGAAAGGATGATACGGGAGGAAAAACAGACAAGAGGACATGTAGCCGAATTACTACTATTGAGAATAATTGTTAGAGCAGATGTGGTGGCCAGAGATTTAGAGGGAGGGGATCACAACAGTACATCGGACTGTACGGATGAGAACAAAGAAAAGGCCGGATTACATCAGAATAACAACACAACGTTTAGAGGAAAATATGACAGATAGAAACAGAATTTGGAGCAGTGGATTTCATGGTTGGGACATCCTGGAGGCTTCTGGGCTGCTTAACACTGGGGTAATTGGGCAAGAAGGGACATGCTGTCAGGTTGGGGAACGTGGGTAATGGAGTACATGCACAAATCGTGTAGTCTAGAACCATGTGATGGCCCACTTCGAGAAAAAAGACGGACATTTATCCTCAAAAACAAGTCCCACATTTCAATAACATGTGTCTTGTACTGCAGAGTATTTAAAAACATCAATATTAACAATGACTATGTTTATGTGTACATGAATAATGCAGGTTATTTTTCTTACCACCCTATATTGACATGCAATGACACAGAACAAACAATGGACTTCAAGTAGGTGCTACCTTGTGCCGTTTTAATTTTTTCTTTCTAATGCAAATCATTTCTTGTATAGTTGTATTCTGGGGTATTTTTTCACCCCCATTGGTCAGAATGACAATAATGTTAATAATAACAATAATTCAATAATTCGACAATAATTCGTCACCTTAAAATTATAAGGTTCTATCTGACATTTTTTTTCAAAATGGAGTTATTGACATATTCTTATTAAATGACAACTTATTTACATTATGGGATATTTTTTTATAAGTTGTTTACATTTTAAGACTTTTTATTTTAAAAACAAATGTTACACACATACTGTTTGCTATAGAATGCAAAAACTTTGAAGCTCAATATCTCAAAATCATTCAGAACGCAGATAGAACCTTATAAATTCCAAGGTGACTAATTATGCTTATTGTGATTATACCTAGAAGGCACACAACATCATAAGATATTAATATTGGGATAGATTTAGGTTTTGACGTCAGGTGACCAAAAATCTATGTCTAACCAGTGTCTAAAGACAGTGTTATTTTGACATACAATAACACATCAAATGATGTTGATATTTGGTTGATTTTAGGTTGTGTTGGAAAGTGACCAAAATACAACATCGAGCCAACATCTCAAACCAACTCATATTGACATCAAATACTGACATTTATTTGTCAGGTTTATAGACTTCATATTGTTAACCTCCACACTACATCTAGCTGTAACATCATTAGACATTAATATTTGTTTGATTTTAGGTTGGATCTGGTTGGTCTGACGTTGGGTTCTGACATCAACCTGATTTTCATTTCCAAACAAATTGCAACATCCCCAAGATGTTGGGGTACAGCATCAATCTGATGTCATGCTGATGTTTTGTGCCTGCTGGGTTTGCTTAATCACATTATTTATATATAATTATTGTATTTACACAAGATAAAGTTTATTCACAATATTGTCAATATGCCGTTCTAATTAAAATGGTTCATATAAATGCCCTCAATGACAACTGACAATAATTGTGATGTAGAACAAAATGAAAGACCAATCATTCATTCATACATTAATTCATTCATTTTCTTTTCGGCTTAGTCCCTTTATTAATCTGGGGTCGCCGCAGCGGAATGAACCGGCAACCTATCCAGCAAATGTTTTACACAGCGGATGCCCTTCAAGCTGCAACCCATCTCTGGGAATCATCCATACACACTCATAAACTACAGACAATTTAGCCTACCCAATTTACCTGTACCGCATGTCTTTGAACTGTGGGGGACCCGGAGGAAACCCACGCGAACACAGGGAGAACATGCAAACTCCACACAGAAACGCCAACTGACCCAGTCAAGGCTCGAACCAGCGACCTTCTAGCTGTGAGGTGACAGCACTACCAACTGCGCCACCACGTCACCAAAGACCAATCAATTTTCTCAACTTTATATTAGAAGTTATTCCAACAAAAAAGCAAGACAAGCATATTTTACCAGTTGCATATATTCTGAAGCACAGAACAAAAAAGATATTTGACAAATGAAACGAAAGGTATTTGAGAACCAGCTTTGATCAACATTAGTTTCAATTTCAGGTTCTTCCCAGTTAATATTACCTCCTATTCACACAGGCACTGATGTTAATGCTTATTATGTACTTTGAATGAAGTG